TGATCCAAACCTGGGTGAACAAAATAGGTATTTTTTTTGAAGGACTGCAACCTTAAAGTTACTGCAACGAAAGTTTGGATTAAGCCAAATCAAAGCTACCTAAAGTGTCGTTGTTACAGAAATTTTATCTTTGCAGATATAATGCCTGTGACCAGTAACAATGACTGGAAAATCCTATCAGTGACTATAATAACCTTAGTGTTCCCATGGAGACACAAACATTTTACTGTAGTCGAATTCCAACTGGTTTTAATAAAACCCCGAGTCAGATATATGGGTAAATGATGAAAGATCACAGGAGCAGAGCAGTCAGCCACTAGTTCTTACCTCCCCCGAATCCTTAAATGGAATGGGCAATCCTGTCCCTGGGAATCCCCAGACTGGATGCTGAGCCCCTGTCTCCTCCTGCCTTACATTCTTCTGTCCAGACGCCAGTCACATCACTCGTGTTTCTACCTCCCTAATGCTGGGATTAAAGGTGTGTGCCACCACTGCCTAGTGTGGCTAGCTCACTGCACTTCACCACATTATTTACTCCATTAGGTAAATTAGACCCAGTTTTATCCACATCTTACAAATGAGAAAACTGGCATCACCGTCCATGATTTTCCCACAGTCAAGTATAACTAACATCTGAATTTCTTCTAAGTAGACACAAACAATAATGTTCACATGTGCCTAGCTGAGTGTGTGAGCATGCAAAGTGACTGGGCATCATAACTAAAGAATTCACTGAAAAAAAAAGTCATGCAAAGGCTGGCTACACACACACAGACACAGACACACACAGACACACACACAGACACACACAGACACACGCACACACAGACACAGACACACACAGACACGGACACACACAGACACAGACACACACAGACACACAGACACGCACACACACACACCATGAAAGTAGAAAAGAAGCAGGGGGAGGACTCGTTAAGAAGAGTTCTAACCCCAGAAGGAGGGAGAGAAGACTGTGGGGTAAAAATGACTAAACTTTATTATATAAGTGAATGAAGCTGTCAAATAAATTTAAGTTACGTTGAGTCCAGGTACGGTAGACTGAGCACTCTCAGTTGGCACGACTGTAAGTGTGCTGAGGGAGTGGCTGGAGTGTTTAGCATCTCACCTTCCCAGTACTGCTCACAGCAGAGAGCAGGCAGTGGAGCACCATCCCAGGCAGACACGATGGGAGCACACTGGAGCCTGGGGAAAGCACCATGTACTCAGCGATGGCACCAACCTCTCTGTTCCGAATGGAAATGATGTGTTAGGATGAATGGCACATCTGGCAAAGGGCTGTATTCTGTGTGGACTTTCAGGCTAGCAGTGCCCTGCTAGCCAGTGCACTTCTGAGACCCAGCAGCTCTTCGGGCAGCTCCTCTGTGCCCCAGGCTGGAGACTGCTCCTGACCAGCTAATACTCCACTGAAGCGCTTTGCTGATTTTCAGATCTGGGCTTCCTTGCAGGCTTCTAAAGCTCTTACAGGTAGTGACTACACATGTTTTGTTCATCTCTGCAGCCCTGTAAATGTTTATAAGCTGGCAGGGCTCTTGAAACGTTGGCTGAGTGATTGCATGCCTGTCTGTGCTGAACTTACTTAAGTTATAATGTTCTTATGTATCAGATGATGGGTTAACTGGATGAAGGTCTGAGGATAATGGTGGGAGGTAAAGGAAAATAAGTTCCTACTTATCTCAAAGAACAAAAACCATAAAGACAGAGATCAGAGATCTTTGCATGCACATGAATCTTTATTTCCTAAGGAATAGACAGCCAAGAACAACCATGGTTTTCTGTGCTCACAAGGCCAGGCAAAGGAACCAGCCACATATCTAAGGTGTCACCTATTCCATTGTCTTGAAGAAGTCCTGCTCTGACCATGTCATAATTGCAGCCGATCACTGGCATATACCTAGGAAATCTAAATATATCTAGTGTTCTGGTAGGAGACATGGATTTTTTTAAATAACAAAGAAAATGACACTAGTCAAATAACAAAAACTAATACAACCTCCATATTCTCCTAAGCCCTGGAAAGTTGTTTCTCCCCAATAGTACAAGTTGCAGATACAGGTAGAAACCCACTCTCCTCTACCCATACAGTCAATTTCTCAAAGATGATATTTGCAAACACCAGACTTAGGCAGAATTCTCCAATGGGGATCCCCAAGGAACCATCTTATAGAAGGAGTGTCACATTAAGACTTCCACAGCTCCAACATTCTCCCTCTACACAAAGGGGTGAAGCCGGTTCTGAGAAAGCTCCTTGATAAACAGGTCACTATGGTGGCCCTTTGTTTCCCTTCTGCTATAGACGGGACCAGTGCTCTCCTCTGTGTGCAGAAAACCATGTGAGGGTGACGGAGTGATGACTGATTGACACCAAAATTTCTGAGATTTGCAACTTTACAGAGGATCATCCTGCTTTGTATCGTATGCCACTAATTTTAATTTCAATTTAGAGTCAACTGGGCCTCTAAAAGAGTCTACTCACCTTTCCAATATCGGCTGGGAACTTGTTATTTTATTTTCAAGATTTAGAGTAGAATTTTAAAAGGAAAGCTTATTAAAGTATACTTTTGGTGTATGTGTGTGCATGTGCATGTGTGCATCTGCCTGTGTCTGTGTGTGTGCATGCTTGTGTGTGTGTGGGTACATGTATTCATGTGAGTGTGCAAGTATGTATGCACACACATGTTGAGTACAGAGGCTGATATCAGTAATCTTGTCTATTGATGGGCACCTTATATGATGAAGCAGGGTCTCTGACTTAACCCCATGGCTTGAAGATTCGGCTACCCAAGGAAGCTAGCTCACTTCAGGAACCCCTTGTCTCTATGATTACAGCTGGGCTGCCATGACTGTCAGGATCTACACAGAGCTGGGGAGCTACCTCCAGTCCTTAAACCTCCCCCGCAAGTACTCTACCCACTGAGCAATCTTGCCAGCCCTGTTTATCAGCATCCTAAACAAACTGGAAAAGGATGAATATTCATCTTTTTTTTAAAAAGGAGGGGGAAATATCTATACCATCCTCTGAAATGCCAGCAAAAGCTTATGTGTTTAGGACATTTCAGAGACACAGTAATACAAGATGGTTTATTCTCTTGTAGGGCTAAAAGGCTCCAGAGTTTTCTTTAAATGGAGATGTTTCTAAGATATACACATAATTTCCATGTTCAGAGTCTAAAACATAACACATTTCTTTCTTAAGAACAGAGTTGAAAATACCAGCTGAAGTGAATGAGTCAATTAAATATTTAAAGAGATGCATATTTGGTCAGAGGTGGAAACAGATGCTGTGGACCACAGAGGAAAGAAATGCTTGCTCTTCATCCTAAAGTTTGTCCTTCCAAAAGCATCCCTGACGTCAGCTCCTGTCTTAGTCAGTGTCTCGTCCTCTTGGAGGTAAAATGAAACTTCAGTGCAGGGTGAAGTTTGTGTGTGTCTTAGAACATGGTCTCCTGTAGCCCAGGTTGGCCTTGAAAATGACCTTGGATACTTCCTCCTTTTGTTTCTTTGTGTGTGTGTCTCTCTATGTGTATACATGTGAGCCTCTGTGTCTCTGCTGTATGTGTCTGTCTGTCTCTGTGTTTCTGTGTATGTATGTGTCTGTGTGTGTCTCTCTCTGTGTGTATACGTGTGTGCCTCTGTGTCTCTGTTGTATATGTCTGTCTCTCTCTGTGTGTGTTTGCCTCTCTGTATGCATGTGTCTGTCTCTGTGTGTGTGTGTTTGTCTCTGCGTATGTATGTGTCTGTGTATGTATGTGTCTGTGTGTGTGTGTGTCTGTCTGTCTCTCTGTATGTAGGTGTCTGTGTGTGTCTTTCTCTGTGTATACATATGTGCCTCTGTGTCTCTGTTGTATGTGTCTGTCTCTGTGGTGTGTGTGTCTCTGTGTCTCTCTGTGTGTATACGTGTGCCTCTGTATGTCTGTTGTATGTGTCTGTCTGTCTCTCTGGCTATGTGTCTGTCTCTCTATATATATTTATGTGTCTCTTTGTGTTCTGTATTTGTCTCTCTCTGTGTATAGGCTACAGTCTTCTTCAGCTACTTTGCCTTTTTAAATTTTATTTTTATATTCAGTGTTTCTCACTGAACCTGCTGCTCCCGAGGTAGCTAGATCTACCTTTCTCTGCCCTGGCACTGGGGTTACAGACACATGCTATTATGCCCAGCTTTTAAAAAGAGTCCTGGAGGCTTGAACTCAGCCCTCATGCTTACCTGAATGACTAGCAACATAGAACTAAGCCACCATCTCAGGCCCAGATTTTGGCCTTCTGATGCCCCTGCCTCTGATGACAGGCATGTTCCACCACACCTGGTTTATTTGGTGATGGTGCCAAATGAATTGCCTTGTGTATGCAAGGCAAGCACTACAGCAACTGTGCCACATCCCTCTTCTCCACAGCTAACCTGTTGAGGAGGATCATGGTTTGAGAGCCTGCAGTGCGCCAAAAGCTGAGCAAGTTTCCTAGCAACGGCTTTCCTCTCTCCTATGTGGCATCTCTCAAATGGTGCTCTCAGCAACCCCTAGATTCCGCTGCAGTTTCTGCAGTGGGGCCTCCCAGCCACTTCTGCCCAGCACAGATTTAGCCAGCTTTCTCACTGGTGTTGGATTTACTCTGTGGCTGGGACAGAGGAACACCCTTGGCTGGTTCACAACTCTGAGTGCCCATGACTGAATTCCCCAAGGCATTTCTTATTTTGCTGAGGTAGTCACATGTGCTATCAATGAAAAAACAAAAAAACCGAAATAATCTCTATAAGGGACAGCTTGTCACTCTTATCCCCTCCCCCTCCCCATCTGTATAAGAAAGGTGTTAGAAAGTTCCTATTCTTTGGTCCTGGGAACCACTTTCCAGGAGTGTAGTTACGAAACTTCTGGCTATGTAAACAAGCAGGCTGTGCGAAGAGTCTGAACAGACAGGCTAATGAAAGGGAAGCTGTGAGAAATCTATGTCCTTAGAGGACTGGCTTAAAAACATAGAACTTCAAATAAAAGAAAATCATTTATTACAAAGTTGAAATAATAATCTATACTACCAACATGCAGACTTACATAATACATTAAACAAAACAAAACAATCAATTCAAAACTGAATGTGGGTGTCATGGGGTGAGACATACATATATTAAAGGTTCCCAAACAGTGTTTGAAGCTCGTTAGAGAAGCAGTGAATACTTCAATATTTGTATTTTGTCTCAGACAAATACAAATACTTAATAGTGCTGTTTGTTACATTGTTTGAATCCAAACAGAAACATAACTATGTACTAATGGCTTAGTCACTGCTGGAAAAACACACACAGTAAGAAACACTATTTTTATTTCCTTCGTTAAATAACCTTGTAGTAATTTATTAATGGAGCGTCTCTCCATCTGTTAGTATTGCAGAACCTCAGACTGCACCATCAGCGTAACTCCTACCCCCTCACTTCCTGTTCGACAAGCAACTTGCAGAACTCGCTTCAGCCGTGCGATGAGGTCATCAGAAGGAATGTGGCATGTTTAACGCGGAAGCACGACCTGCTTCCAACTGCCATTGGCACAACGCTGTGCAGGCGTCCCTCATGATGGAAGACGTCTGCTGCCAAGCCTAGAGTGGCACTCAGACTTTAGTACGATGTCCCTCCCAGAGCACCCTGGCACACAGGTTGGGAAAACACAGATAAACAACAAAACACTAAGAGCTGCTTTCTCTCAGATTATTGGTGATCCAAAAACAAAGGAAGAGTTTCTGAACCTTTTCCAAACAAGCAGCTGTTAGCTTTACAATTAGAGTCCCCTGCAGTGACCGAGGCATCTCAGAGTCCTTTGTCCTCACAGGAAGGTGGATATTTTGCTCCCGTCAAGCTTGCTCCCTGAAGCAAAATCTCAGCATAAACATTAAAAACGGAAACGTCTTGGGTAATGCTTTCATTACTAAAATAGCAAAAACATAGAAAGTCATAAATAACCTTCAATGACTCTTCCTCCTCAGAGTCTTGTCTGATACTTACCCAGGTCAGATCAATGAAGTCACTCGTGTCACTAACCCAGACATTCGCCCTACTTCCTGCGGGTAGCTGGTACCATTGTTCAACAATAAACTCTCTGTCCCTCAGCTGATATGCCGTGCAGAGCACAGCCGTGCCCTCGTGGGAACTGGGCTATAAATGGTCCTTTGCTACTGGTCTACAGGGCTGTGTCTGCCAGGCAGGTTAGCGGTGCTCCTTTAGAAATGGAGCCTGCTGCTTGTCACCCCAGTGTCCTCTGCCGCTGCCTGTAAAGGACTCACTCCTCTCTTTGTTCTCCTTTGCTTACTTCTGACCTGTTTGTCAGCTTTTGTACTAAAAGAATGAATAGCCTATTATATCTTCACCAGTGGGGACTTTCAGAACCGATCTAGTGAGTCGGGTATAACAGACAATTAGTTCCTTAGAGCATTTAGTGGTTGCTGAATATTTTGTTTGTCTTTGGGTTTGCGGGGCTTGATGAATAGAAAGAAATGAGTTATTTTCCCATTAAATGCTAGATTTCAAACCTGAGGAATCTCTCGTTTTTTGCTACCATATAGGTGGAGTTTTATTGCCATCAGCATTTTATTCAATTTTTATGTGCATACATGAGTGCGTGTGTGCGTGAGTGTGTGTGTGTGTGTGTGTGTGTGTGTGTACTTGAAGTTTGTATCTATTGGGTATCTTTTCTCAATCTCTTTTCACCTTATTACTGAGACAGGGTCTTTAACTGAACCTAGAGTTTATCAATTTGGCTAGGCTGGCCAGAGAACTTCAAGGATCTGCCTGTCTCTACACCCTTGGAGGTAGGTTACAGACACAGACTGCCATACCCACTTTTTACATGAGTTCTGGGAAGTCGAACATAGGTCTTCATGGTTGTGTGGCAAACTATCAACCCACTTAGCCATCTTCTTGACGCCTTATTACCTTTTAAGTAGAGAGGCCCAAAGATCTATAAAACACTCATGTTACAATTTATTAACTTCTATGAATGGACACATTAATCACTACTTCAAGTTAGAATTAATTATGGTGTAGTGATATAATGTTTATGGAACAGTTTATGGATGAACCTTAATATAAGTAGAGCTCCGAAACCTCTTAGGGATGTTCTTTAAAATATGAAGATAATAACTCCCAATCTTCCTATAAGCCAGTGGTTCTCAACCTATGGGTCATGACCCCCACAAGGATCACATATCAGATATCTTGCATATCAGATATTTATATTATGATTCATAACAGTAGCAAAATTATTTATGAAGTAGCAATGAGATATCTTTATGGTTAGAGGGTCACCACAACATGAGGAACTATATTAAGGTCAAAGGAAGCATCAGGAAGGTTGAGAACCACTGCCAGAGTTCAACTGTTCTCAACTACTTCTGACATAGACTACACTTTATCTTGCTAACTGTCTATCCCTCCAACTAGAGGTAAGCTCAGCAAAGGTAGGTATCATTAACCAGTGATTTATTTGTTCCCAACACATAAAGACAAGAGACTCAATCAGCATTTCTTGAAAAGCAAGTGAACAAGTGACTTATTCTTAAAAGGTTTCAGTTATCCACTTACGTTTTATTTTATATGTATGGGTACTTTGCCTGGATGTATGTCTGCACACATTGGAGGTCAGAAGAGGGCATCAGATCCCCTGGATCTAGAGTTATAGATGGTTGTGAGCTGCATGTGGGCATTGGGAATCAAACTCTGGTCCTCTAGAACAAGTGCTCTTAACTGCTGGTCCGTCTCTCCAGCCCTGAACGGTTTTGTGGGGTTTTTTTTGTTTGTTTGTTTTGTTTTTATAACACTACTTCAATGGATCAAAAAAGAAGACAAAGTCTTCTAAAGATAAATCTAACACTTGTGGAAACCAATTTAAATCCCTGAGACCAGAACTGTATCAGATTTTGGAGCTTCTCAGATTTGGGGATGTCTTTGTCATCTTGGACATTGAGTATCCCTAACTGGAGAAACCCCAGATCCCAAATGCTCTAAAACCTGAAACTTTCTGAGCGGTCAAGCTGCACATTGTGAAGCGCTTCAGAATGGAGGCTTCCAGCGAGGGTGTGTGAGTGTTCCCTTAGAACCAACATCTTCACTGAAGGGGAAACACAGCACCGAGAAGGATCCAGCTCACTCACTGTCACTTCCCATTGGGACAGTTTCAACTCTGACTCAGGATTTCTGAGTGTCAGAAAGTGGTAAGTTCACAAAGAGCACTGCTAAACTGTCAGAAAGAACTAGAAAGCTAGAACACAGGGTTAAGTTAACCATGAAGCAAGGAGGCAGGGGCTAGTGACTGCTGGGTGTGGGGTAGATGAGGAGGCTGTGCATTAAAAGAAGCTTAATGTCTACAAACAGGGTGTGAGAGCCAGTACCTCTGAAGGTAAACTCTACAGTGGGTAAGCAAAAATAAAATTAAATAAAAAATCTCCCCTGGATCATAAACAAAGCCAAGTGATGAAAACATGGGGAGGAAAACGTACATTTAGAAATTCAAACTCACACTCTCCTTGAGGTAAGGACACACACACACACACACACACACACTATTAGTATAATCTATTAGGACAGTAGGTAGTTGGGGAGAGCCTCTAAGCACTTGGCAGAATCAAGTACAGTGTCTCTCCAGAATAATGAACTTTGTCCAAGTTTCAAAGGATTTTCATTTACAGAGATCCTGGTAATTAAGAAGTGAGTCCACACACACACACGCACGCACACACGCGCGGCAGACACACACACACCTGCGCATGCACACACTCACACACAGAGACACACACTCACACACACAGACACATACACAGGAAGCAGCTACCCTGAGTAAGAATGAAGCAATAACGCAGAATAACCTAGACTTGGCTTCTCAGAGACTGCAAATATCAGACAGACTCGACACAAAAAGAAAACACCTATGTTTACAGAAAGAAAAGTCTTCAAATATGAAAATGAACAAAATATGGCTAGTCATAGCTTTAAAAAGCAAAATGAATCTAAAAACAAAAAAATGCAATAATTATAATACGAGGCTCAATGAGTGAGTTCGATGCCAAATTAGATGCAGTTGAAAATAGAGCTGGTGTTTTGGTAGACATACAGACATTATACATAAACCTATAAAGAAACAGAAAAGAGACACAGTATGAAGGAAGGACTGAGAGAGATGGAAGCTAGAGTATAAAGACATGCTGTCAGAGAGGCAGCATGAGAAGTGATCTAGTCTCTAGATTTCCAGAGTCTCTAAAGCTGGGAAGCCTTTATCCAGACGGAGACCCTGAAACTTAAAATGCTACCACTGAAGACTGCACCAGCCAGAGGAATACCCACAAGTGAGTGATGATGAGCTACTGGTTGATTTTACATAAGAGGAGAAACTCCAGGGAAACTTCTTTAAAGCAAAGGATTACCAGCCTACAACCCATAACACCAGAGAAGCTAGGAAACAAGAAGGACCCTAAGAGAGGCATACATGGTCCCCCAGAGAAGGGGAAAGGGACAAGATCTCCTGAGCAAATTTGGAGCATGGGAGGAGGGGAAAGGGAGCTAGAAGAAAGAGAAGGGGAGAAGAGGAGGGGAGAGAAAAGAATGAGGGAAGTTTGGGGGGGGCCAGGAGGAAGAATAGAGGATAGCAAGATAAGAGATAACCATAATAGAGGGAGTCATTATAGGTTTAAAGAGAAATCTGGCGCTAGGGAAATGATCTACAAGGATGAAACCAACTAACAATCTAAGCAATAGTGGAGAGGCTACCTTAAATGCTCTTCCCTGATAATGAGATTGACGACTACTTTGCCATCCTAGAGCCTTCATCCAGTAGCTGATGGAAGCAGAGGCAGACACCCAAAACAAACACTGACGTGAACTCCTGGAATCCAGTTGCAGAGAAGAAGGAATGATGAGCAAAGGGGTCAAGACCAGGCTGGTGAAACCCACAGAAACAGCTGACCTGAACAAGGAGGAGCTCATGGACCCCAGACTGATAGTTTGGGAACCAGCATAGGACCGACCCAGGCCCCCTGAATGTGGGTGTCAGTTAGGAGGCCTGGGCAATCTTTGGGGCCTCTGGTAGTAAATCAGTACTTATTCCTAGCATAAAAATGGACTTTGTGAACCCATTCCACACAGAGGCATGTTCTCTCAGACTAGACACACAGGGGAGGGCCTAGGCCCTGCTCCAAAGGATATGACAGACTTTTAAGATCCCCCATGGAAGGCCTCACCCTCCCTGGGGAGTGTAAAGGGGATGGGGTAAGGAGTAGTGGGAGTCACGGGAGGAGGGAAGGGAGAGGGACTGGGATTGACATGTAAAACAAGATAGTTTATAATTTGAATAGAAAAAAAACTGGGAACAAATTCTTCTATCTACCTGTATGGCTGGCAAAGCTAGCTTTCACAACCAAAACAAATAGAAAGTTATTTGGGGGCAAACAGAAAATAAGAAAATCTAAGCCAAAGCCATTCTCATCTAAGGAATTTCTATGGGCTGCACAGCCAGGAACACTGAGCTGTGATGAAGGCAGCCAACATATGTCCAACCCTAAACAGGCACAAACTGTATGCAGAAGAACACTGAGCAATGTCTAATCATAGGAGGAAATTAAAAATTATAAACAGGGGCTACAGAGATGACTTAGCAGTTAAGCGCACTGACTGCACTTCTAGACAACCTGCATTCAATCCCCAGCACCCACATGGCAGCTCACAGCTGTCTGTAACTACAGTTCCAGGGGGTCCAACACCCTACCCTCACACAGACATGCATGTGGGTAAAACACCAATGCACACAAAACAAAATTAAATTTAAAATGCTATAACCATGGCACAACAGAGCAAAAGCAAGAGATCACAACTGAAGGAGTTTAAGATCCCTGGACGGCTTGAGGGAAAAGGGGAGACATTGCTCAGTGTGTGAATGTAAGTGAAAAGGATGCCAAGATATCAAGGGTAAGTGCAAAAGACCGTTTAAAGGAAAACAGACTTAGGAGAGCAAAACAAGAAAAGCCCACCCAACCTAAATGAGGCAGGAAAGAAACATAGAGCACCCCAAAAGCAAGCAAGATAGAAGGCAGAAAAGAAGAAACACAGACGAGGGTGTATGCTGAGTGATGTTAGTGAGGTCCACCCAGCAACAGAGATCAGCTGTAGTTTCAGTTAAATTTTAAAAATGAACTAAGTGTGAATGTCCCACATTTTCTCTATCCACTCTTCTGTTGAGGGGCATCTAGGTTGCTTCCAGGTTCTGGCTATTACAAATAATGCTGCTATGAACATAGTGGAACAGATGTCCATGTTGTATGAATGTGCATCTTTTGGGTATATGCCTAAGAGTGGAGTTGCTGGGTCTTGTGGTAGACTGATTCCCATTTTCCTGAGGAATCTCCATACTGATTTCCAAAGTGGCTGTACCAGTTTGCATTCCCACCAGCAGTGGAGGAGTGTTCCCCTCTCTCCACATCCTCTCCCAGCATAAACTGGTGTTTTTGATTTTAGCCATTCTGACAGGAGTAAGATGGTATCCCAGGGTTGTTTTGATTTGCACTTCCTGGATGGCTAGGGATGTTGAGCACTTTCTCAAGTGTCTCTCAGCCATTTTAGACTCCCCTATTGAGAATTCTCTATTTAGTTC